GGTAATTATTCTTTCCCCCTTTTTTTTTTTTTCTTTTCTTTTTTTTCCTCTCGTCGATAAAAGACGAAGAAGATAGAGAGAGAGAGAGCCCGGAATCGTCGTGAAATATCGGTCATCGTGAAGAATGGGAACACGATTCCGGAGGAAGATCCGTTTCGTTCCCTTTTAACTCCATCTCTCAGAGATGATATTTCTCGACGTGCCTCTCTGTCCCGTTCCGCGCCTTCAAACCGTATATTATTTTTCCTCGATGCTCTGAAAAATTGTTTTTCCAGCAAACGAGTTTTGTCAGTTGTTCTTCAGAACGACGGGACTTCTGTGTACGCATATAACAGTTGACACGTCGCTGTCGTTGCTGCCGCGATAACACTTGACGGGGAAAAGAAAAATTATCCTGTGGGTGGTAAGGAGCACACGTGATCCGTCGAGATTCTATTTCCTTCGATCTTATTGAGTCACGAAACGACATCGTTGATTTAATATGCGATTCGAAGGTGCGGAGGAGATACAGCCGCCGTTCGTCTGCTCTATTTTCGTGACAGAAGCACGGACGTGCGTCTAATTTTAAACAATAGGTTCGAGAGAGATCGCTCTGGGACGTGATTTTTCGAAACGACATTTCACCTTTGGTATAAAAGAAACAGAATTCTCCGTATAAAGTGTCCCGGGTCGCAGTATTACAATTGCACGTTGAAAAAATTCATTCTACCTCTCGATCGCGGATATTAACGGAGAAATGAATTAATTGGATAACAAGGCGATACGTTTTTATCCGACGTAACAACGGAGAAATAACGATACGAGGTAAAAACAGTTTTCCTCGCTTTCACGTTTATTCCAATCTCGTAATCGTATACCGATTCGAGAATTGTCAAAGCAAGCCGACCGGAGGCTTTGAGAAATATTGTTCCGCCCGTTTTAAAAGTCCGCGTAAACCGGCATCCAAGGCGAGAAGACGGCAACGGCGGACAGTCGGTACTATTTTTGTAAAAAGAAGCACGCCCGTTCTAATTCTAACTGGGTTCGCGGTCCGAACACGGTGTTTAATGTTTCGCTCTGATGGCACGCCTACGATCGCAAAGTTGCACAAGTTGGTAACACGAGAAACCATTATTCGAGTCAATGACGCTGAACGTAACAACGGTGTCGCCATAGATGTATCATACGTACCCATCCGACACGAATGAAATTACACTAATAGCTTTGATCCGTTATTAACCATTATTTCCAGCTGTCGTTCCAATTATCATCGTCGATTAATCGATCGGTAATTCTCCCTCTCGTTTATCCTTCGAAATTCTAAACCTTCCCTCGTCTTCCCAAAACGGGGCGCATCAACGCTGATCCAGAAGGATCTCTCTCGAAACTAAAGCGAGAGCAAGAGAAACAAAAAAAAAAAAGAAAAACAGAAGAAAAGAACGCGATATGACAAAACTGACGGTGATTCACCTAATCTCTCTCTAGATCACGATCGTCAACAGAGGGACGAGAATGATCGGGAGAAGAAAGAATGCCGCGACGAATTCGTTGGCAGATCTGTAATTGCTCTGTTGAAAAAAAAATATCTTAGGGTGTCGGGTGGGGGGTTGGGGGCCTAAAAATCCTAAAAATCGAGATGAGAAAACGAACAACTCTAAAAAAGAGACTCCCCGGTGACTGCTCACTGGTGGCAGACACCTAAACGCGGACACGCCTCTGGAACTTACTTCCTGGAATGAGAAAATGAGAAAACGTGGACGTTAGTGCTATTTTAGGAACTCGATCTCCAGGGGATTAAGGAATTACCAGCAGAACACTTACGTTTCCTCGACCACCTCCTCCTCGCTGCTGTAAAACAGAAAATGGAACAAAATGACAGTTGTTAGTGAATAGGGGCACAGGTGGGACGGGCGATCACGGGGGCTACTGATATAAACTCGGATGAAGAAAAAAAAAGAAGAAAAAACGACGACAGGGAAGACGAATCTTTCGGGTCTCATACAAAGGGTGCTGAGGGGTGGGTGGGCATTCTCGTGGGTGTTTTCTTTTGCACCTAACTGCACGCTGAAAAATATTTCACATTTGTCAAACGGGTGACAATTGAGCTGTCTAATTTGACTCTTTCCTCTCGAACGTGAAAAAATAGAAACGGAGCGATCTCGAGGGAAGGATCGTTTACTGTGACGTTTTTGGTCACACCTGTCTACTCTAACTGAATATAGATCCGCATCGATCCAAACCGGGTGACTCATCTTCGGTACGCGCGAACTGTGTTTGAATTTCCTCGTTTCAAAAATAAACGAAAACTCCGTTTGCATCGGCCATGATCTCGTTTGCCCCGCGCGCAAAAACCGGCTCCCTCGGAATTACACGCATATTTCAATTTCTGTCTACATTTCCTTAAACGGCAAGCATATTCTAC